TGAGTGAGTAGCCAGGATTACAGATGTGAGCCACCGGCCCCCAGCTGGAACTTCTTTCTAGAAGGTCGAAGGTAAGATGGTCCCAGGGCTCAGCCCCTGAGGACTTGGGTTAAGGCTGCCTGTGGAGGGGACCCGGGCTCCTCCCAGCTGCTGCTATGTCAGAACTGGCCTGTCTCCAGAGCGCTCTCCACACACGTGGCTCCACGTGATCTGGACGCACAGACGGACACTCACCTCAGTGCCGCTTTCCCCATACCCATCACCACGGCCCAGCCACACGCTTGTTTTTAGTGAATCTTCTCTGTTGCTGTTACTTGCGGGGGGGGGGGGGGGGAGATGCTTGCTTGGCCCCACTGTAGCCAAAAACGTGCATAGGAATGAACGATCACATGACTTCAAACGCCCAAACTGCCTTCCCTCTAACTGATGCTCTGTGACTGAAGAGGTGGAGCTTGCCTTCCCCAAACAATTATAAAACATTTTCAGATGATAAAGGGGATCAGAGAAGAAGATAAAACAGTTAACACTCAAGACCTCCTCTGGAGCATGAATATATTTATAGATCACTGTAGGCTCCTAGGAATACTTGATGGGAAATATATTGATAATGCAATTTTTCTTTGAAGGAGATTGTAATGCTTGCAAATTTGGTTTAATAATTAAATTAATAAGGACTGCTTGATTCAAACATGGGTCTCTTAATGATATACAGAGCGAGTAAGATCTCTCGTGCCAGCTAAGGAGGTTTTAAAAGACTGCATCAGGTGATCTACAGTTGAGTGCCATCTGCCCTTTATTCATGCAGCATTAACCTTTATATTAAAATGCATTTAAGTGTCATTTCTGAAAAGGTTATTGAAAAAAACAAATAGGAAATAGTTCATGACAATATCTTTATTTTACTGATCTGAATAAAAAGCTGATATATCTGGGTGCCAGTGGCTCACGCCTGTAATCCTAGCTATTCAAGAGGCTGAGATCTTAGACTAATGGTTTGAAGCCAGCCTGAGCAGGAAAGTCCATGAGATTCTAACTCTGGGAAATCACCTAAAAGCCAGAAAAGGAGCTTAGCTCAAGTGGTAGAGCGCTAGCCTTGAGCAAGAAAAACTCAGGGACAGAGCCCAGATTCTGAGTTCAAGCCCCAGGACACATACACACACGTGTGCATGCGCACACGTGTGTGCAAGCACACACACACACAGAGAAATGTGATATAATCTTCCATAAAACACAGCTTTTAACATTTTAGGAATTTGAAGTGCAGGTGTGACTCAAGTGGTAGAGTGCCAGCCTTGAGCAAAAATGTCAAGGGAGGCTGGGAAGGTGGCTCAGTGGTAGAGCGCTTGCCTTGCATGCCTGAAGCCCTGGGTTCGATTCCTCAGCACCACATAAGCAAAAAGAAGAAAGCCGGAAGTGACGCTGTGGCTCAAGTGGTAGAGTGCTAGCCTTGAGCTGAAGAGCTGAGGGACAGCGCCCAGACCCAGAGTTCAGGCCTCACGACCGGACCCAGCAAAAAAAAAATCAAAAATGTCAAGGGAGAGCACAAGGCCCTGTGTTCAAGCCCAGCACTGGCATGTTCAGTGTTGTGTATTCACCTGAGCGGCTAAGGCAGGAGGATGGCTTGAGTCAGGAGTTCAAAGTCAGCCTGAGCGACAAAATGAAAACGAATCTCAAAAACACGCAAGTTTCTCTGTGTATCACCTTTATAATAACAACTTAAAAAATCAAGTTTTGGGAATCCATTTCCAGATAGACCATCCGTTGCCGGCTCTGTGGGAGGCCTTTTGGGCCCGTGGCGTGCCTCAGGAGCTCAGGAAGCGCTGGGCTGCGTCTCACGTGGAACCGAGCACGGCGGGCTGCTTTGGGAGGGGTGTGGGGTCCAGAGGGAGGGGTCACAGCCAGGTGCCCAAGGGCGCGGGGCCTCTCTGTGGGTTGCTATGTGACCTGGACAAGTGACTTAGTCCTTCCAGGCTGCATGTCCTTATCTTATCTGTGACGTGGAGCTGATATCCTCCGGCCGCCGGTGAGGCAGCACCTGGCACGTGGAGAGAGCTTCCTGCAGGCCGGCGCCCCCGTGGGGTGGGTGATCGATTGCAGCCAGTGGCAGTGGCGGGAGTGTGTGTGTGTGTGTGTGTGTGTAAACCTGCGGGTGGTCACTCCGTGGCAGCCAAGCACACAAGCCCATTCGCACCCTTCCGTGATGGCCACAGGCTCCACTCTTGCCCGTTTTGAGGGCTGGAGGCCTCGGGCGGCTGAGAACCCGCGGCTGCTCCCCGCATCTCCGTGCCAGAGTCAGCCGAGGCTGATTGGCTGGCTTCCTCCAGCAGGTTGGGGGGGGGGGGACCCTGGGCTGGGTGTGGTGCAGCCCGCAGGCCCAGGGCGGCGGCCGCTCCCTGGGAGACCTGGGTGCCAGGCCTCAGAGGGCCACCGCGCCGCCTCCAGCTACGGCCCCGGCGGCCGGAGCCAGACCCTGAAGAACAATCCTCGCCGTCCCTGCTCGCACCCTGTCTCAGCCCGGGCATTTTCTGGCTGCAATAGCCAAGAAACAGGGCAGGCCTGGCAGGCCTTCTGAGCGAGGAGTTGGAGTCAGGACGGGGGGGGGGGGGGGGGCACCATGGGGATGGAGCTCAGGGGAGGCAGCCGCGCGGCTCGCTCCGAGCCAGCCCTGGGCGGCGCCTCTGCGTCCTGGGCAGGGTGGAGGGCAGTCCCTGGGGAAGGCAGGAGGCCGCTGGTGGCGCTGGCCCGTGGCGGCCTCAGTGGCGGCTTCCATGCGTGGAGCACTGTCCCATCTCTTCTTGCAGAGTCGGAATCACGGTTTTCCCGGTTTGTTGAACGTGCACTGTGGAAGACACTTCCCGAGCGAGGGAAGCTGAGGTTGAAGCCCGGAGTCTGACCGTCTCAGGCCTGGAGCCTGGCCATGGCCTGCATCAGGCTGGGCAGAGGCAGAGCCCCGGGTCTGACCGGGCCTGGCGGGGCCGCTGAGCCCCATCACACCGGGTCCGAGGCCCGGTGGGCAGAGTCCCCGGCCCAACACCCTCAGATGTAACCGAAATCCCAAGGGCATCACCAGAAGGCCGCATGTGTGCCCAGGCCCTGCCACCCCAGCCGGACGCAGGCACTGGAGACATCCTGGAGAGAGCGGAAGCTGGGCCGCAGGGGCGTGGCCACTGGTGGGGGGCGAGGCTGGGGACAGGAGGGGGCCTGGGAAAAGGGGAGAGGCCGGGAGGCCTGGGCCAGAGAGCCAGCCAGGCCTTGGGCGCCGGGTCCCGACGCTTCCGGAGCAACGCGGCCCCATCTTGTCTCAGCTCTGTGGGGGGCTGTGGGGTCTGCTGCAGGTGAGCCACGGGCTTCCCGCGGGGGAAGCGCCCACAGCTGCCTGGGACACGGTCACCGCGGTCAGGGGACTTTCCAAACACTAAGTGCCATTTGTCAAGCAATATTTCAAAAAACATTAATTTCCCAGGAGGCTTCTCTGAATTACTCTAATTGCTTTTCATTGAGTGACTAATTTTTTAAATTGCAGTTTTATGAAAAAAAAAATAAAACAAATATTTCTAGCCGGGAAGTGTCCCATGAGAAAACAGTTTTCAGGGCGGTTTGTAATCTTTACATCTGGACTTATATATTACCCTTCTATTGACACTACTTTTTGATTAATATTGTGTATAACATTCCCTAATGCATCAGCAGAATTAATTATGCAGAAGCATTCAGGCCCTTGGACATTATATTGATGAAATGACGCTTTATTGACAAAATGACAGTTTAATACTTAGCTTTCCTCAGGCTGTATATCTATCCACTGTCTTAATTCTCACAGCAAAGCTGTGGGAGGTAAATTTGTCCTGTCTGCTATGTGCTCTGGGTGCTCACCGCTCCAGACGGAAGCCTTGTACCTTTTCATTGTGGTTAATCTTTTTTTTTTTTGTCGGTTGTGGGGCTTGAACTCCAGGCCTGGGCGCTGTCCCTCAGCTCTTCAGCTCCGGACTAGCGCTCTACCACTTGAGCCACAGGGCCACTTCTGTTTTTTTTTCTAATGGTTTCTTGGAGATAAGAGTCTCACAGACTTTCCTGCCTGGGCTGGCTTTGAACTGTGATGCTCAGATCTCAGCCTCCTGAGTAGTTAGGATGACAGGTGTGAGCCACCGGCACCTGGCAGGTTCATTGTGGTTAATCTTGTTGCACAGATGCCACAGAGTTCATGCTGTACATGCCTGCACTTGGCAACATTGTGTTTCTCGTCCACTGACTTAGATGTTCAGTTGTGTCCCCCAGGCTCACGTGTGGAAGTCCCGGATGCAGAGACACGCACGTGGCAGACGTGGCTTGCAGATCAGCCTCATGCCAACCACCTGCCTGGAGTCCCCGGGAGAGGGGAGATGCCCTTCCCTGGCACCGCGAGGGAGTGGACCTGGGCACTCCAGATGGTGAGGGAATGATCTTGTTTAGCGCTAGTGCAGGTTAACTGTGCAGAGTAGCGTGTTTCCTCGGGCAGGTTAACTGTGCAGAGTAGCGTGTTTCCTCGGGCAGGTTAACTGTGCAGGGTAGCGTGTTTCCTCGGGCAGGTTAACTGTGCAGGGTAGCGTGTTTCCTCGGGCAGGTTAACTGTGCAGAGTAGTGTGTTTCCTTGGGCAGGTTAACTGTGCAGAGTAGCGTGTTTCCTTGTGACGCGTTCACTTCTGTGGTGAGGGACCCAGTCCCACTGCCATCTGCAGCCTTAGGGGTGACTGCCCAGCTTCAGTGGGATCGCGCGCTCTGTGGAGTCCAGAGCTGGGCGAGGGGCCGGGCTGGGCTGTGAATCAACTTCTGGTGGGGACACGGGGGTGAGGGCTGGGGGCACAGGAGTGAGCAGAGTGAGAGGCCACCGTGCAGGAGGCGAGGGTGGTGTTGGCCTGTCCCCCTCCCCAGTGCTCGCGTCCCCTCCGCGGTGGCGTCAGCCTGGCCCCCGGTCCCCAGCGCCGCTCCACACAGGAGCCCTGCTCCGGAGCCGCTGTGCTCACCACACCTGCAGCACCGGCTGCTCTGAGCTGTCTTTGGTCCCCTGCTCCTTCCAAGACAGTTTGCTGCACGTGCCCACGTGGCCCTGGGAGGTAAATGTGTGGAACAGAGACACGAAGGTCAAGGGCAGGCCAGGCCAGGGAAGCCCAGCCCCGGCACCAGGCGGCAGCGTCTTGGATGGCCTCGGGTCCGGGAGGCCGGGAGGCCTGGAGGCCGGAGCCCTTCCAGAACTGGTGCCTGGCTCGGGTCAAGTGCGGGGCGGCGCAGCGCCGGGATGCGTGCCACGGGAGCCGGCCGGACCCGGTGCTCTGAGGCTGGTGTCAGGCGGTTTCCGTGCTGATGGGAATCTGCACCCGTCTCTGAGCACTATCTTAATTGGCAATTTCAGCAGAAAGGTCTAAGAGCGAGAGAGGATCATTATTTGTGCACTTCCATCCGCTCTGTGGTACCGGGCACATTCATCAGAAGTGCCACTTATCTATTTATCCTTGTTAGCGAAACCCCGGTGCCTTAAGTCATTTCTCCATTGCCCAGCTGGATGGCCGTGTGGGCAAGCCATCATGCCCTCGCCTTGGCTCAGGGCCTCACTGGTAGCTGTCAGGGCCGACCTGGCAGAGCTGCGGCCTGCCCTGGGCCTGCCGTGGGGCCTCCAGCTCCGAGAGCAAGGAACGTGTCGCGGGACCCTTCTCAGCCGGTGGGGCCGGGCCCGCTGCGCCTGCTGTGGAGCTGCGGGCTGTGCTGTGAGTGCGCGGTGTCTCTGCCTCATCGGACGCTGTCCTTGCCGCAGGGGGTGTGCTCTGGAGGACCTGGTCCACGCCGCAGGGGCCGCGCTCTGGAGCCATCTTGCTCATACAGACCAGTATCTTCTGCCTCTGGGTTTGCTTTCCTGCTCTGAGAAGCCAGAGTTTCCCAAGGGTCAGGAGTGAGCGGCTCAGGCCCAGCCGTGGTCTGACACCGAGCAGACCAAAGGCCGCCCAGGGCGGCTGTGCTGGCCCCAAAGGGAAAATACCGCTCAAGAAACGTCAGAGGCAAAAGGTGTAAATCCCCTGGGTAGTCGAGCAACTAGAAGCTCCTCTCCATTGTTTGTCCGTCTGTTTGCATGTGGCTTGTTTTGTTCTGATGCCAGGGCTTGAGCGGGCGGCCATTCATTCAGGAGCGCGGGTGTGTTGGAGAGGCAGACCTACCGTGCACAGGGCAAAGTGGAGCTGTGCTTCAGATCCACGGAGGCCCGAGAGACACGAGGATCTGCAGAGTGAGAACACACAGGAAGGACATGCGTGGAGAGCGTGGAGGAACGCACAGGAAGCAGCAGCGCGTGGTGAGGAGGGCTTGGGTGGGTGTGGCGGCGGTTTGGCGGTTCGGCACGTGGGCCGCGGCGGCCCTGCCCTGCACGTGAGCCTGGGCTGGCCGGGGCCATAGCTGGGCCCCTAGCGTCACAGCAGCGTAAACTGAGGGCCGTGACGTGAAGCTGCCTGGGCAGCACGTGTCCCCCTCCTTGCCAGATTGTCCCCCCCCGCACTGTCCCCCGGCACTGTCCCCCCACCCCGCCCGTGGAGGACCTGGGGCGCAGGGGGAGGCTGCGGCTGGCACGCAGTCTTCCATGGTGTGGACTTCATGTGCGACTGATCGGGGTGCCTGGCTGACCTTCTGTGTTTGTTTTGTTGGTTGTGGGTCTTGAACTCTGGGCCTGGGCTCTGTCCCTCAGCTCTTCAGCTCAAGGCTAGTGCTCTACCACGTGAGCCACAGCGCCACTTCCGGCTTTTTCTGCTCATGGGGTGCTGAAGAATCGAACCCAGGGCCTCAGGCATGCAGGGCAAGCGCTCTACCACTGAGCCACCTTCCAGCCCCTGTCCTTTTGTGTTTCTATCCGTGTGTAGAACGGAGGGGAGCAAGGAGGAGGCGGCAGGCCGTGGAGCCACAGCGGAGCCAGCCGAGCGCGGACACGCCCCGCCCCCAGACCTGCTGCACCCTGTAACCCTTCCACTCCATCCACGGACATAAACCTTTCCTGACTCCGGGCAGGACAGCAGCTGACAAATGAGCAGCCAAGGACCGCTGACCCGCGCTGTGCTGCACGCTCCCCTTCGGCCGGGCGGTCTGCAGCGTGGGAAGTGTGCGGCTGAGGCCCGCTGCTGTCCACGCTGCAGGGAGGCACTGCGCAGCTCAGCCTGCGGAACGCAGCACCGCGAGAGATTAGCATAATGAAAGGGGAGAATATTGACACTTGGTGTGCGCGCCGCCTGATAATGCCGCACGCAGCCAGATAGCTCCAGTGCTAATGGAGATGTAATGGATGTAAAGCTGCAGTTCTCACCGTGGCCTGGGAAGCAAAGCGCTCCGCTGCCAAATAGATAAGATGAGAGGGAGCAGCGGGAATCCCAGGTCATCAACCCGCTGCGTCCGCGCCAAACGCTCACCGCCTGCGGCTGCCTTGTTCATCTGGGCAGCGCCCATTTTTACTGTGTTTTCCAGAGTCGGCCGGGCTGTGGACCAGTAAATCAATGCTGGTGTCCGGTGGGTTTGTTTCCTCCCCGCGCGGTCTGTGTGGAAGACGATCTGGCACCACAGTGCGGGATGCCGGCTGATGCGGCGAGGGCACAAAGGCAGCTCCTGACTCCGCGTCCTTCTCTGGCGCTCACGCCTCCCCGGGCGGGCGGGCGCCCGGGCTGCCACACGGGCTCAGCACCGAGGGCCTCCCCTGTTGAGCGACACCTGCCGTGCTGAGGGCCTTGCTTCCCCACGGTTGGCAGTGGGCAGGGTCTGGGGACGGTCCCCGGGGACGGTCCCAGGGCCAGCTCCGCAGACTGCGCTCGGCCTGCCGCTCCTGCCCTCGCTGTGCCCGCCCTGCTCTGCCTCGGTCCTGTGGGCCGCGTCCTGCGGGCGCCTGCCCAGCTGGCTTCCCATGGCAGAGGTGAGGGGGGGAGGGTAACGGGGGGGAGGGGGCGCCAGGGCGGCAGCAGGGCAGACTGCTTCTGGAGTCTGGGAAACGTCTTCACGGCCTGTCTGCACTAGGAACGGCAGTGGTGCAGGCTGCGGGAGCTCACGCCTGTAATCCTCGTTACTCAGGAGGCTGAGAGTTGAGGACTGTGACTCAAAGCCAGGCCAGGCAGGAAAGTCTACGAGACTCTTATCTCCGATACCAAAAGGCTGCAAGGGGAGCTGTGGCTCAAGTGGTAGAGTGCCAGCCTTGCATAAAAACACTCAGGGTTAATGCCCAGGCCCTGAGTTCAAGCCCTAGTACGGGGACACACACACACACACACACACACACACACACACACACACACACACGTCTCTGTGGCTCTCTCGTTCCGCTGTGTCCTGCGTAGCCACTCCCAGAGCACCCCCTCCCCGTTTTGAAATCCTTGGCTGGCAGCCCACTGCCCTGGCGGGAAGCAGACTCCAGGGCGACCTGAGCGGGGGTGGCACCTGCGTGCACTGAGTGGGGGTGGCGCCTGTGTGCACTGAGCGTGCACTGAGCATGCACTGAGCGTGCACTGAGCAGGGGTGGTGCCTGCGTGCACTGAGCGTGCACTGAGCGGGGGTGGCGCCTGCGTGCACTGAGCATGCACTGAGCGTGCACTGAGCGGGGGTGGTGCCTGCGTGCACTGAGCGTGCACTGAGCATGCACTGAGCGGGGGTGGCGCCTGAGTGCACTGAGCGTGCACTGAGCGTGCACTGAGCGGGGGTGGCGCCTGCGTGCACTGAGTGTGCACTGAGCGTGCACTGAGCGTGCACTGAGCGGGGGTGGCGCCTGCGTGCACTGAACGTGCACTGAGCGTGCACTGAGCGGGGGTGGCGCCTGCGTGCACTGAGCGTGCACTGAGCGTGCACTGAGCGGGGGGTGGCGCCTGCGTGCACTGAGCGTGCACTGAGCGGGGGTGACGCCTGCGTGCACTGAGCGTGCACTAAGCGGGGGTGGCACCTGCGTGCACTGAGCGGGGGTGGCGCCTGCGTGCACTGAGCGTGCACTGAGCATGCACTGAGCGTGCACTGTGCATGCACTGAGTGTGCACTGAGCGGGGGTGGTGCCTGCGTGCACTGAGCATGCACTGAGCATGCACTGAGCGTGCACTGAGCGTGCACTGAGTGTGCACTGAGCAGGGGTGGTGCCTGCGTGCACTGAGCGTGCACTGAGCGGGGGTGGCGCCTGCCGTGCACTGAGCAGCGGGGTCTGGGCTGTCGCGCTGCGCTGTGAGGTCGGTGTGGGCGAAGGGCCGGCGGCGGGAAGCAGCAGCTGTGCGGCCGCCCACAGCGCGGGAGCATGCGTGGCCAGAGCTTCACGGAGGCCATGGAGGATCAAGCTCCAGTTACCTCACTCGCGGGGTCTCTAAAGCCTACCGCAGCACCCCTTGCTTTGGAAGAAGCCGCGCACCCGCTGGGGGCTGGGGGGCTGGGGGGGGCTGGGGCTCCTGCGTGCTCGCGCCTCGGCCCGCCCACACCCCGGGGAGGGGACCACGGCTTTCTCTGCCCCCAGAGGTGGCCGTGGCTGGGGTGGGCCACCTTGGGGACCCCTCAGCCTCTCCCACAGACAGGGACCTCCGCAGGCCCCGGGGCATGGACGTCGCAGGCCGGTCTCTCCAAGCAGAGCTCGCTTGCGATATGTGAGGGAAAGGAGAGAATCATGGATTTCCTCCCAGGAGACAGCTTCCTGCCCCACGCGAGCCACCGTCCCCGCCACGCGGGCATCGGACGCCCCCCCCGCGGTCACAAGCCCGCCCGGGCCTCCCGGAGCCCCAAACTGGGTCACGGAGATGGACACTTTGCCAGGACTTCCTCCGGCTGATGACAGCGAATGTGGAGGGAGGGCCAGTCTCCCCCAGACGCCCTTGCTGGGGTGACTGCTCCATCCCCCCACGCCCCATCCCCCCACGCCCCATCCCCCCACGCCCCATCCCCCCCCACGCCCCATCCCCCCACGCCCCATCCCCCCACGCCCCATCCCCCCACGCCCCATCCCCCCCCACGCCCCATCCCCCCACGCCCCATCCCCCCACGCCCCATCCCCCCCCACGAGCTGCAAAGTGACGGCAGCGGCAGAGGGGAGCCGTCAGCTGCGCAACCGCGCTGTCTTTGTTGTCCTTGAATTCAAGGCATCTGGCCAGAGAGAACAACCGTCCCACACACGGCGTGTGCCGGCCGCGACGCGTGGGCACCCGGCTGCGTCCGTGCTGCCCGTGCTACGCGCTGTGTCTCTTGCGCAGCCATCCCAAGCACGGCGGTGGGCTTGCGTGGCAGGGCTGGGCTGTGGGGCGCAGCGCTGCGGGGTGCGTGTGTGACAGGCAGGCCTGGCGGGGAGAGCGGGGCCCGGGCGCGCCTCCGGCCGGCCCCGGCTCGTGACCCACGACCCCGTCTCCACCTGTGGTCCACAGGCCTCCTCCCTGCAGGCCTGGCCATCTCCGGCCTTGTCTCGTCCCCCTTTCTTTATGCTGGCCCTGGGGCTGGAACTCAGGGCCTGGGGGCTGTCCCTGAGCGTCTGTGCTCTAGCACTTGAGCTACAGCGCCACTTCTAGCTCCTTGTGCCTAATTGGAGAGCAAAATCTCATTGACTTTCCTGCCTGGGCTGGCTTTGAACCGTGATCCTCAGATCTCAGACTCCTGAGTAGCTAGGATGCCAGGCATGAGCCGCCGGTGCCTGGCCGTGCGATGTCTCTAATTCTGATGTCTCAGATGGTACTTGGTAGCACCGGATAAACAAGAGAGTCAAACTCAGACCCCGCGTCCTGCTTCACACTTCTTATGTGGGTAGATCAGCCGACCGTGGGAGAGCAGAAGTGCGGAGCTGGCCGCGGAGGTGTGGAGCTGACCGTGGAGCTGGCCATGGAGGTGTGGAGCTGACCACAGAGGTGTGGAGCTGGCCACGGAGGTGCAGAGCTGATCGTGGAGGTACCCGGATGCCCCGCTGACCGGTCCCTCCCCTGCCTGGGTGGTCTGCTGCCCGTCTGGTCCTCATCTGCTCCCTAGGATCTCTCGTAACTCGGTGGCCCTCGAGGGTCACCCACCCGGGACTCCCTGGCCTCACCACCTGCACACATCACTCTGCACATCACACGCATTCAAACCCTCCATGCGTGCGCATGCACACGCATGCTCCTGCCCCCAGTCCTCCTCCCCGTGGTCTGACCATCCGTGCCCGCACCTCCTCGCAGGCTGGATTTGCACAGCCTGTGGCTGCATTGCGAGGAAGGCTTTACTTCTAAATAAGGTCACATTTGTGTACACACACTCACATGCATGCACACCACACACATATGTGCACATAGGCACTCATGCACACACAATGCACACATGATCATGACACACACCTCACAAGACACTGCACACTGCACACATGCTTCTTCACACACAGACACACTGTGCACGGCACTACACACCTGTACACACACGTGTACACACTTGCACGAGATGCTTTGCACCTCTGCTTGGCGCTGGCTTGGTGGACTGGACTTTACAATGTGCACTTGAGCTCTCGGACCTCATTTCCTGTGGAGTAACCAAAATGCTGACTTCTTGTAGCCAAGGTCTCCACCCATTGGTTTTAAGCAGCTGATTGTTTTGGGCCAACCCCGGACCTGGCACTGCCTGGGCTGCAGGAGCTCCAGGCTGGCTGAGGGAGCGACGTTCCCGGCGGCTTCTCTGTGACTCCCAGGTCGGCCGTGGGGGCACGGGGAGGGGGCTCTCCTTCCGTACCCCAGCTTCAGATCTGCCAGTGTGGCAGGGGAGAATAGCACTTCACCTGGCCTCCCTTTCATTGTGGGTGTGGATGGCAGATCACGTTCGTATGTACAAAGACCTTTTTATTTCTTTCCAAGGAATCATGACCCTGTTTATGTCTTTTTTTTTTTCCTGTTCTTTCTCAGACTCTTGGTCATTTTCTTATTGATTTTTAAGAGCTCTGGCAAATTGAGAAAATTAGCTTTCAGCCTGTTGTAATATATCATTTATTCTCAGTGTGTTGCTTTTAATCACTTGGTGTAGTTTTGGAGCACTGTTTCTGTGCAGTGGACTCCGAGTCTCCTCTGAAGGCAGTGAGCTGTTCGCGCCGGGCATGCACATGGTCTGAGGCCGGTGGAGCGGCTCGGGCGCTGCTGGCCGGGGTCTGGAGGGCCTGCGGCGCTCTGCCGAGACATGGAGGAGGAGCTGGTGCACCCGGGAGCTTCCTCTGCGAAGAGGTGTTTGCAAGCTGTGTAGAACTCACGTCTAAGTACTAAGTGAGTGACCCAGGTGGGTGATCATTCCCAGCGCTGGGGAGGCTGAGGCAGGAGGATGGAGAGGTGAGGCTAGCCTGGGCTACGAGCCCTTGTCTCAAAAAAGAAAGGGATGCAGGGGAGGGAGAAATTGCACAAAGCCGCTGGGGGCTGCTGTGACTGGTGACTCAGGGGCGTGTGTCCTGCCCCCTCTCCGTGGCTGCCTTGGTCACGTGCTCTCCCCGTTTCCTTTGCGGTGCACGTGGCCAGCTCCTGAACGCGGTCGGCTCACATGGGCCAGGAACGGTGTGCACTCTTATTGAAATGGAATCCAAATGTCTCACCTCCCCGTCCGCGCGCAGCTGACAGCTTCCAGTCATAGAGGCAACTACAAAGCCACAGCACCGTGTGCACGCACGTGTAGTAACCCACGCCGGGTGCCCTGACTCCCGCCTCCTCGGTCCCAGAGTCATTATTGAAGTGGACACGCTTCCTGCCCTGGTCCCCGCCTCCCTGCAGGGAGGGCCGGGTGTGAGCGCGTGTGCGCGCGGCCTTTCTGCTCCCTCCTGCTAGCTCCCAGCTTTCACTAGTTGTCAAGTTTTATGTTTACATGCGGTTTGTAATTATAGTGAAGTCTTCGCTGCTTTGCCTGTGGGTGGTGTTGAAGCTGAAAATACATAAAAAGGCACTTATGTCATTAGGGAAATGCAAATGCGAACTTCTCAGTTACCGCTTCCCGGCCGCCCGGCTGGCGATGGTCTGGAGGCCGAGTGACGTCAGCGGGGGGGGGGGCGGTGCAGAGGTGACCCCCGGGCGACCCAGCACACTCACCTGCATGCGCATTTCTACCCACAGTGCCCACTGTGCACGCAACTCAACAGCCAGGGAAGGGCGTGACAGAACACGGCCCGTCCATTCAGAGGACGGTTGCTTAGTTATAGACAGGACAATTTTCTCAGTGGATAGACCTTGAAAACATTGTGCTGAGCAAAAGAGCCCAGCATTACAGACCCCACTGTATAATTCCATGTCTATGACCCCCCAGGATGACTCTGTAGAGGCAGAATGTATTTGCAGGGGTGAGGAGGGCTGAGGTGTGGCCAGCAGTGGTGTGTGGTGTGGAGGGGTGAGGCGTGACCAGCAGTGGGCACTGGGTGTGGAGGGGTGAGGCGTGACCAGCAGTGGTGTGTGGTGTGGAGGGGTGAGGCGTGGCCAGCAGTGGTGTGTGGTGTGGAAGGGTGAGGCGTGGCCAGCAGTGGTGTGTGGTGTGGAGGGGTGAGGCATGACCAGCAGTGGGCACTGGGTGTGGAGGGATGAAGCGTGACCAGCAGTGGGCACTGGGTGTGGAGGGGTGAGGCGTGACCAGCATTGGACACTGGGTGTGGAGGGGTGAGCCGTGACCAGCAGTGGTGTGTGGTGTGGAGGGGTGAGGCGTGACCAGCAGTGGGCACTGGGTGTGGAGGGGTGAGGCGTGACCAGCAGTGGTGTGTGGTGTGGAGGGGTGAGGCGTGACCAGCATTGGACACTGGGTGTGGAGGGGTGAGCTGTGACCAGCAGTGGGCACTGGGTGTGGAGGGGTGAGGCGTGACCAGCAGTGGGCACTGGGTGTGGAGGGGTGAGGCGTGACCAGCAGTGGGCACTGGGTGTGGAGGGGTGAGGCGTGACCAGCAGTGGTGTGTGGTGTGGAGGGGTGAGGCGTGGCCAGCAGTGGGCACTGGGTGTGGAGGGGTGAGGCGTGACCAGCAGTGGGCACTGGGTGTGGAGGGCTGAGGTGTGGCCAGTAGTGGGCGTGCAGTGTCTCTTTGGGATGACAAAAACATTCAAAGGTCACTGGCACTGGTGGCTCGCCTGTCATCCTAACTCCTCGGGAGGCTGAGATCTGTGAAGCCAGTCTGGGCAGGAAAGTCCATGAGACTCTTATCTCCAATTAAGTGGCTGTGGCTCAAGTGGTGGAAAGCTAGCCTTGAGCAAAGAGAGCTCAGAGACAGTGCCCAGACCTCGAGTTCAATCCCCACAAACCAACAACAATAAGTAAATAAATAAATAAAGTATGTTCCTTCTTTAAGTAACTCCAATGTAAAATAACCCTAATAACCTCAATGAAAGACCACGGCCAAACAGCTTGTAATGTGGTGGTGGTGGGAGCGGTGCTTCAAGTCAGCAATGCGGAGACCACGGCTTCCCAAAGGGGCCTGTGGAGGCCAGGAGACCTTGGGTCTGGTTAATCTCAAGCCTGAGCATGGCAGGGCTTTTTTTTTGTTTGTCAGTGGTGTGGGTCTTGAACTCTGGGCCTGGGTGCTGTCCCTCAGCTCTTCAGCTCAAGGCTAGCACTCTACCACTTGAACCACAGCACCACTTCTGGCTTTTCTGTGTATGTGGTGCCGAGGAATCGAACCCAGGGCCTCATGCATGCGAGGCAAGCGCTCTACCACTGAGCCACCTTCCCAGCCCGGCAGTTTGGTTTTTATCACAGGGAAAGCGCTGTTTGGGCCAGGCTGGCACGGAGAAGAGGCAGGAGACAGAGCACTGGAGCACAGGAGTGGTCTGACAGCGGGCAAGTGTGCACAGGAATTCTCTACACGCGTGGAACACATCGAATACTCCACACACGTGGATACACCGCACACGTGGACACACTGCACACATGGACACACTGCACACGTGGACACACCACACACGTGGACATACCACACACGTACACACACCGCACACGTGGACACACCGCACACGTGGACACACTGCACACGTGGACACACCAGACATGTGGACACACCGCACACGTGGACACACCAGACACGTGGACACACCAGACACGTGGACACACCGCACACGTGGACACATCAGACACGTGGACACACCACACACGTGGACACACCGCACACGTGGACACACCGCACACGTGGACACATCAGACACGTGGACACACCGCACACGTGGACACACCGCACACGTGGACACACCGCACACGTGGACACACCGCACACGTGGATACACCGCACACGTGGACACACCACACACGTGGACACACCGCACACGTGGACACACCGCACACGTAGATACACCACACACGTGGGCACACTGCACATGTGGACACACCACACATGTGGACACACTGCACACGAGGACACACCACACATGTGGACACACCACACATGTGGACACACCACACACGTGGATACACCACACACGTGGACACACCGCACACGTGGACACACTGCACACGTGGACACACCGCACACGTGGACACACCAGACACGTGGACACACCACACACGTGGACACACCGCACACGTGGACACACCGCACATGTGGACACACCGCACACGTGGACACACCGCACACGTGGACACACCACGCATACCGCACACGACACACTGCACACGTGAACACACCGCGCACGTGGACACACCGCGCACGTGGACACACCACACACGTGGACACACCACGCATACCGCACACGACACACTGCACACGTGAACACACCGCGCACGTGGACACACCACACACGTGGACACACCACGCATACCGCACACGACACACTGCACACGTGAACACACCGCGCACGTGGACACACCGCGCACGTGGACACACCGCACACGTGGACACACTGCACATGTGGACATACTGCACATGTGGACATACTGCACATGTGGACATACTGCACACGTGGAAACACCTCACACGTGGATACACCGCACACGCAGCACACACTGCACACGTGGACACACCGCACACGTAGACACACTGCGCAGGTGGACACACTGCACACGTGGAGACACCGCGCACGTGGACACACTGCACACGTGGACACACCGCACACGTGGACATACTGCACACGTGGACACACCGCACACGTGGACACACTGCACACGTGGACACACCGCACACGTGGACACACCGCACACGTAGATACACTGCACACGTGGACACACTGCACATGTGGACATACTGCACACGTGGACATACTGCACACGTGGACACACCGCACACGTGGATACACCGCACACGTGGACACACTGCACACGTGGACACACCGCACACGTGGACACACCGCACACGTGGACACACTGCACACGTGGACACACTGCGCACGCAGCACCCACCGCACGCATGGGGCGCACCGCATGTGCGGGACACACCGCTGCCCCACCATGTGAGAGACCCGCCACACCGCTTGGGGACTCGGCGCAGCACTGGGAAAAGCAAGGCTGCGTGGAACGTTGGGACATACACTCTGTCCCCGCTGTGTGGCAAATCGCCTCCCTCTGAATGGGACTGAGGCCACTGTGAGGACACGGACACCTCAGCCTGGCCCCGGGCAGAGGCGGGGGGGGAGGGGGAGGCGGTGGGAGGGGAAGGCGGGGGGGAGGGGGAGGCGGGGGCAGCCCCGAGGGACCCGGCGGCAGCACCGCCCATGGCCCTGAGGGACCAGGCTCCTGTCCTTCTCCCAGGCCTCCTCTGGCACCGAGGGGTGCTCTCCTGGAGACACCCCATCCTTCCTGGAACCCGTCCTGGGCTGTGAGATCTTCCGGCAAGTGCCCTCCCTCCCAGCCGCCCTCCCTCCCAGCTCCCTGCAGAGGTCTGCATGGAGGTCCGTCCTGCGCTGAGGTCCGCCCTGCATGGAGGTCCGCCCTGCGCTGAGGTCCGCCCTGCATGGAGGTCCGCCCTGCGTGGAGGTCCCCTCTGCATGGAGGTCCCCTCTGTGTGGAGGTCCGCTCTGCGTGGAGGTCCACCCTGCATGGAGGTCCACCCTGCATGGAGGTCCACCCTGCATGGAGGTCCCCTCTGCGTGGAGGTCCCCTCTGCGTGGAGGTCCACCCTGCGTGGAGGTCCGCCGTGCGTGGAGGTCCCCTCTGCGTGGAGGTCCCCTCTGCGTGGAGGTCCGCCCTGCATGGAGGTCCCCTCTGCGTGGAGGTCTGCTCTGCGTGGAGGTCCGCCCTGCGTGGAGGTCCGCCCTGCGCGGAGGCCCGCCCTGCGTGGAGGTCCGCTCTGCGTGGAGGTCCGCCCTGCGTGGAGGTCTGCTCTGTGTGGAGGTCCGCTCTGCGTGGAGGTCCGCCCTTCGTGGAGGTCTGCTCTGCGTGGAGGTCTGCTCTGCGTGGAGGTCCGCTCTGCGTGGAGGTCCGCTCTGCGTGGAGGTCAGCCCTGCGTGGAGGTCCGCCCTGCGTGGAGGTCCGCCCTGCGTGGAGGTCCGCTCTGCGTGGAGGTCCCCTCTGCGTGGAGGTCCGCCCTGCGTGGAGGTCCGCCCTGCGTGGAGGTCTGCTCTGCGTGGAGGTCCCCTCTGCGTGGAGGTCCCCTCTGCGTGGAGGTCCGCCCTGCGCTGAGGTCTGCTCTGCGTGGAGGTCCGCCCTGCGCGGAGGCCCGCCCTGCGTGGAGGTCTGCTCTGCGTGGAGGTCCGCCCTTCGTGGAGGTCTGCTCTGCGTGGAGGTCCGCCCTGCGTGGAGGTCCGCCCTGCGTGGAGGTCTGCTCTGCGTGGAGGTCCGCTCTGCGTGGAGGTCCGCCCTGCGTGGAGGTCTGCTCTGCGTGGAGGTCCGCCCTGCGTGGAGGTCCGCTCTGCGTGGAGGTCCCCTCTGCGTGGAGGTCCCCTCTGCGTGGAGGTCCCATCTGCGTGGAGGTCCGCCCTGCGTGGAGGTCCGCCCTGCGTGGAGGTCCGCTCTGCGTGGAGGTCCCCTCTGCGTGGAGGTCCGCCCTGCGTGGAGGTCTGCTCTGCGTGGAGGTCCGCCCTGCGTGGAGGTCCGCTCTGCGTGGAGGTCCACTCTGTGGCGGTCTGCCCTGCGTGGAGGTCCGCCCTGCGTGGAGGTCCGCTCTGCGTGGAGGTCCCCTCTGCGTGGAGGTCCGCCCTGCGTGGAGGTCCACTCTGCGTGGAGGTCCGCTCTGCGTGGAGGTCCGCCCTGCGTGGAGGTCCGCCCTGCGTGGAGGTCTGCTCTGCGTGGAGGTCCGCCCTGCGTGGAGGTCCCCTCTGCATGGAGGTCCCCTCTGCAAGGAGGTCCCCTCTGCGCGGAGGTCCCCTCTGCGTGGAGGTCCGCCCTGCGTGGAGGTCCCCTCTGCGTGGAGGTCCGCCCTGCGTGGAGGTCCCCTCTGCATGGAGGTCCCCTCTGCGCGGAGGTCCCCTCTGCGTGGAGGTCCGCCCTGCGTGGAGGTCCCCTCTGCGTGGAGGTCCCCTCTGCGTGGAGGTCCCCTCTGCGTGGAGGTCCGCCCTGCGTGGAGGTCTGCTCTGCGTGGAGGTCCGCTCTGCGTGGAGGTCCGCTCTGCGTGGAGGTCCGCTCTGCGTGGAGGTCTGCTCTGCGTGGAGGTCCCCTCTGCGTGGAGGTCCGCCCTGCGTGGAGGTCTGCTCTGCGTGGAGGTCCGCCCTGCGTGGAGGTCTGCTCTGCGTGGAGGTCCGCCCAGCGTGGAGGTCCCCTCTGCGTGAAGGTCCCCTCTGCGTGGAGGTCCCCTCTGCGTGGAGGTCCGCCCTGCGTGGAGGTCTGCTCTGCGTGGAGGTCCGCCCTGCGTGGAGGTCTGCCCTGCGTGGAGGTCCCCTCTGCGTGGAGGTCCCCTCTGCGTGGAGGTCCGCTCTGCGCGGAGGTCCGCCCTGCGTGGAGGTCTGCTCTGCGTCGAGGTCCCCTCTGCGTGGAGGTCCGCCCTGCGTGGAGGTCCGCTCTGCGTGGAGGTCCCCTCTGCGTGGAGGTCCGCCCTGCGTGGAGGTCCGCTCTGCGTGGAGGTCCCCTCTGCGTGGAGGTCCGCCCTGCGTGGAGGTCCGCTCTGCGTGGAGGTCCCCTCTGCGTGGAGGTCCGCCCTGCGTGGAGGTCCCCTCTGCGTGGAGGTCCGCTCTGCGTGGAGGTCCGCCCTGCGTGGAGGTCCGCCCTGCGTGGAGGTCCGCCCTGCGTGGAGGTCTGCTCTGCGTGGAGGTCCCCTCTGCGTGGAGGTCCCCTCTGCGTGGAGGTCTGCTCTGCGTGGAGGTCTGCTCTGCGTCGAGGTCCCGTCTGCGTGGAGGTCCGCTCTGCAAGGAGGTCTGCTCTGCGTGGAGGTCCGCTCTGCGTGGAGGTCCCCTCTGCGTGGAGGTCCGCTCTGCAAGGAGGTCCGCCCTGCATGGAGGTCCGCCCTGCGTGGAGGTCCGCCCTGCGTGGAGGTCTGCTCTGTGTGGAGGTCCGCTCTGCGTGGAGGTCTGCTCTGCGTGGAGGTCCGCTCTGCGTGGAGGTCCGCTCTGCGTGGAGGTCCGCCCTGCGTGGAGGTCTGCTCTGCATGGAGGTCTGCTCTGCGTGGAGGTCCCCTCTGCGTGGAGGTCCGCCCTGCGTGGAGGTCTGCTCTGCGTGGAGGTCCGCCCTGCGTGGAGGTCCTCTCTGCGTGGAGGTCCGCCCTGCGCGGAGGTCCGCCCTGCGTGGAGGTCTGCTCTGCGTGGAGGTCCACCCTTCGTGGAGGTCTGCTCTGCGTGGAGGCCCGCTCTGCGTGGAGGCCCGCTCTGCGTGGAGGTCTGCTCTGCGTGGAGGTCCGCCCTGCGTGGAGGTCCCCTCTGCATGGAGGTCCCCTCTGCGTGGAGGTCCGCTCTGTGTGGAGGTCTGCTCTGCGTGGAGGTCCGCCCTGCATGGAGGTCCCCTCTGCGTGGAGGTCCGCCCTGCGTGGAGGTCCCCTCTGCGTGGAGGTCCGCCCTGCGTGGAGGTCCCCTCTGCGTGGAGGTCCCCTCTGCGTGGAGGTCCCCTCTGCGTGGAGGTCCGCCCTGCGTGGAGGTCTGCTCTGCGTGGAGGTCCGCCCTGCGTGGAGGTCCGCTCTGCGTGGAGGTCCGCCCTGCGTGGAGGTCCGCCCTGCGTGGAGGTCCGCCCTGCGTGGAGGTCCCCTCTGCGTGGAGGTCCGCTCTGCGTGGAGGTCCCCTCTGCGTGGAGGTCCGCTCTGCGTGGAGGTCCCCTCTGCGTGGAGGTCCCCTCTGCGTGGAGGTCCCCTCTGCGTGGAGGTCCGCTCTGCGTGGAGGTCTGCCCTGTGTGGAGGTCCGCCCTGCGTGGAGGTCCCCTCTGCGTGGAGGTCCCCTCTGCGTGGAGGTCCGCTCTGCGTGGAGGTCTGCCCTGTGTGGAGGTCCGCCCTGCGTGGAGGTCCCCTCTGCGTGGAGGTCCCCTCTGCGTGGAGGTCCCCTCTGCGTGGAGGTCCCCTCTGCGTGGAGGTCCGCTCTGCGTGGAGGTCCCCTCTGCGTGGAGGTCCGCTCTGCGCGGAGGTCCGCCCTGCGTGGAGGTCTGCTCTGCGTGGAGGTCCCCTCTGCATGGAGGTCCCCTCTGCGTGGAGGTCTGCTCTGCGTCGAGGTCCCCTCTGCGTGGAGGTCCGCTCTGCAAGGAGGTCTGCTCTGCGTGGAGGTCCGCTCTGCGTGGAGGTCCGCTCTGCGTGGAGGTCTGCTCTGCGTCGAGGTCCCCTCTGCGTGGAGGTCCGCTCTGCAAGGAGGTCTGCTCTGCGTGGAGGTCCGCTCTGCGCGGAGGTCCGCCCTGCGTGGAGGTCCGCTCTGCGTGGAGGTCCGCCCTGCGTGGAGGTCCGCCCTGCGTGGAGGTCCGCCCTGCGTGGAGGTCCGCTCTGCAAGGAGGTCTGCTCTGCGTGGAGGTCCGCTCTGCGTGGAGGTCCGCCCTGCGTGGAGGTCTGCTCTGTGTGGAGGTCCGCCCTGCGTGGAGGTCTGCTCTGCGTGGAGGTCTGCTCTGCGTGGAGGTCCGCTCTGCGTGGAGGTCCGCCCTGCGTGGAGGTCTGCTCTGCGTGGAGGTCCGCCCTGCGTGGAGGTCCGCCCTGCATGGAGGTCCCCTCTGCATGGAGGTCCGCCCTGCGTGGAGGTCCGCCCTGCGTGGAGGTCCGCCCTGCGTGGAGGTCCGCCCTGTGTGGAGGTCCGCTCTGCGTGGAGGTCCGCCCTGCGTGGAGGTCCGCTCTGCGTGGAGGTCCACTCTTCGTGGAGGTCCGCTCTGTGTGGAGGTCTGCTCTGCGTGGAGGTCCCCTCTGCATGGAGGTCCCCTCTGCATGGAGGTCCGCCCTGCGTGGAGGTCCGCCCTGCGTGGAGGTCCGCCCTGCGTGGAGGTCTGCTCTGTGTGGAGGTCCGCTCTGCGTGGAGGTCCACTCTGCGTGGAGGTCCCCTCTGCGTGGAGGTCCCCTCTGCATGGAGGTCCGCCCTGCGTGGAGGTCCGCCCTGCGTGGAGGTCCGCTCTGCGTGGAGGTCCACTCTGCGTGGAGGTCCGCCCTGCGTGGAGGTCCGCTCTGCGTGGAGGTCCCCTCTGCGTGGAGGTCCCCTCTGCGTGGAGGTCTGCTCTGCGTGGAGGTCCGCCCTGCGTGGAGGTCCACTCTGTGTGGAGGTCCGCCCTGCGTGGAGGTCTGCTCTGCGTGGAGGTCCGCCCTGCGTGGAGGTCCACTCTGTGTGGAGGTCCGCCCTGCGTGGAGGTCTGCTCTGCGTGGAGGTCCGCTCTGCGTGGAGGTCCCCTCTGCGTGGAGGTCCCCTCTGCGTGGAGGTCTGCTCTGCGTGGAGGTCCGCCCTGCGTGGAGGTCCACTCTGTGTGGAGGTCCGCCCTGCGTGGAGGTCTGCTCTGCGTGGAGGTCCGCCCTGCGTGGAGGTCTGCTCTGCGTGGAGGTCCCCTCTGCGTGGAGGTCCCCTCTGCGTGGAGGTCCCCTCTGCGTGGAGGTCTGCTCTGCGTGGAGGTCTGCTCTGCGTGGAGGTCTGCTCTGCGTCGAGGTCCCCTCTGCATGGAGGTCCCCTCTGCGTGGAGGTCTGCTCTGCGTGGAGGTCTGCTCTGCGTGGAGGTCTGCTCTGCGTCGAGGTCCCCTCTGTGTGGAGGTCCGCTCTGCGTGGAGGTCCGCTCTGCACTGAGGTCCGCCCTGCGTGGAGGTCTGCTCTGCGTGGAGGTCCACCCTGCGTGGAGGTCCGCTCTGCACTGAGGTCCGCCCTGCGTGGAGGTCTGCTCTGCGTGGAGGTCCCCTCTGCGTGGAGGTCCCCTCTGCGTGGAGGTCCGTCCTGCGTGGAGATCTGCTCTGTGTGGAGGTCCGCCCTGCACTGAGCTCCGCTCTGCACTGAGGTCCGTCCTGCATGGAGGTCCTCTCTGTGTGGAGGTCCGTCCTGCGTGGAGGTCCTCTCTGTGTGGAGGTCCGTCCTGCGTGGAGGTCCGTCCTGCATGGAGGTCCTCTCTGTGTGGAGGTCCGTCCTGCGTGGAGGTCCTCTCTGTGTGGAGGTCCGTCCTGCGTGGAGGTCCGCCCTGCGTGGAGGTCCGCTCTGTGTGGAGGTCTGCTCTGCGTGGAGGTCTGCTCTGCGTGGAGGTCCACTCTGTGTGGAGGTCCGCCCTGCGTGGAGGTCCGCCCTGCGTGGAGGTCCGCTCTGCACTGAGATCCGTCCTGCGTGGAGGTCCCCTCTGCGTGGAGGTCCCCTCTGCGTGGAGGTCCCCTCTGCGCGGAGGTCCGTCCTGCGTGGAGATCTGCTCTGTGTGGAGGTCCGCCCTGCACTGAGCTCCGCTCTGCACTGAGGTCCGTCCTGCATGGAGGTCCGCTCTGTGTGGAGGTCCGTCCTGCGTGGAGGTCCGCCCTGCGTGGATATCTGCTCTGTGTGGAGGTCCGTCCTGCGTGGAGGCCTGCTCCATCCAGCCCCACGCATGTCACATGAAGCAGAGGTGCGGGCGCTCCGAGAGCTGGGGCGATGGCTCCACCTCTGACCCCTCCCTCCCCCCCCCCCCCCCCCCCCCGTTCCTCCAAAGAAGGCCCTGTCCCGGGAAGAAGATGGCGGGTCCTGACAGGGTCCTGACACGCACTTCTCCCCAAGAGCTCCACCACAACCAGAGCACTAACAGCATCTCTGGCCGGCCCCCAGCCAGGGATCAGTGAGGACCCTGGCGGCCGGCGCCAGTCCAGGGCTGGGACGACCTGTCCCTGCCACCCAACAAGGAGCTCAGCACTGAAGAGGACAGAGAGGACAGAGCCCCTCCTCACGGCCGGGAGCCGCGGGACTCACCCTGGGAGTCGCCATGACCCTCGAGGGGCAGGGAAACCTGACCGGTTCAGACAACAAAGACAAAATCCCACGCACACACCCGAGGCCTCATGCCCAACCTGAGGCTTGAAGTTGGTCTTCCCGGCCTCCCGGTCCCCAGTCTGGGATCAAGGAAAAAGAGCTGCCGCCACCACCGGGCAGAGCCAGCAGGGACCCAGGTGCACACTCCCTGCACACTTCCCAGCGCTCTCTGGCCAGGCTCCTTCAGCTAGCCCTGGGCAGGCACGCACGTGCACAAGCGCTTGCTGCCCCAGGCCGAGCGTGGCTAGTTCTCCCGGTGTGAGCTAGCCGGGTCAAGCCCCGGCCGCCACCCGTCGAGTGTGAGCAGGCTGGTCTTTAGCCACAAGCCTGACAATCCCTGAACCCAAATGCGTAAGTCACAAGGAAAGGTGACAAGATTCATGAACAATCAAGACGAAAAACCAAATCGAAAAGCCAACAGCAATCCAGGGAAGGACCCCAGGGAGAGCAAACAGAACATGAAGAACCACTAAAGAAATGATGACAGAATTGGCCAATGAAATTCAAGGGAAGATGCAAAGCACAATTGCAAGAGTACAAAGAAGAAATGACAAAGAAGATCCAAGACTCCCCAAAAGATATGGAGATTAACATAGAAACGCTATACACCTCATTCACAGACAAAGTTAACACTACGAGGGGCTGGGAAGATGGCTCTGTGGTAGAGTGCTTGCCTTGATTGCCTGAGGCCCTGGGTTCGATTCCTCAGCACCACGTAAGCAAAATGAAAAAAGCCGGAAGTGGTGCTGTGGCTCAAGTGGTAGAGCTCTAGCCTTGAGCTGAAGAGCTGAGGGACAGCGCCCAGGCCCAGAGTTCAGGCCCCATGACCAGACCCCCCCCACCCCAAAAAAAATAACACTATAAGAACTGGTCTCAGGAGTATAAAAGGTTCAACTTCCACAGTGGAATACCTCGGTAACCGAATAAGTGAAATGGAAAGCAGAATATCGGGAGTTGAGGATAAAACAGAGGAGCTAGAACAAATAAGTTAACGGCATGGAAAAATCACTCAGAACTACGCCAGGGAAAGCCAAGAATTGGCAGACTCAGCCAAGAGATCAAATTTATACATAGTTGGGATCAGTGAGGGGGAAGAGCTCAATACAAAGGCATTGAAGAAGGTATTAAGTAAAAACACGAGAGAGAACTCCCCTATCTTTTTTTTTGGTCAGTGGTTGGGCTTGAACTCTGGGCCTGGGCACTGTCCCTCAGCTCTTCAGCTCAAGGCCAGCACTCTACCACTTGAGCCACAGCGCCACTTCTAGTTTTGTGGTGGTTTGTTGGAGATAAGAGTCTCACAGACTTTCCTGCCTGGGCTGGCTTTGAACCGTGATCCTCGATCTCAGCCTCCTGAGTAGCTAGGATTACAGACATGAGCCACTGGCGCTGGCTTTCCCCTGTCTTAAGACAGAAAAATCTCACCCACCTGACAGAAGCATACATATAACCCTCAGTAGACAGGATCCAAGAAGAAACACTTCTAGACACATCATAGTAAAAATCATTGGACTTGAGAAGCAAGAATTGATTTAAATGATGCAAAATGAAAGAAGGGGAAATATTACAATGGAAAGAAAATCAGAATCACTGCAAACCTCTCTACACAAACTCTCAATGCAAGGAGAGCCTGGAATGTATAATCAAGCCCTGAAGATCAACAACTGTCAACCCAAACTGGTGTGCCCAGCGAAGCTGTCATTCATAATTGACAGAGAAACTAGAAGCTTCCATGACAAACAAAAATGAAAGGAGTTTGTGAACACTAAACCAGCATTAAAAGAATACTAAAGATGAGTACACAATCTGAAGAAAATAATCAAAATCAAAAGGAAACATCAGACAAAAATCACTAGAAGACCAACTTAGTAAGTACAGGAAGAGTAAAAAAGCAAAATACAAGGGCTGGGAAGGTGGCTCAGTGGTAGAGCGCTTGCCTTGCATGCCTGAGGCCCTGGGTTCGGTTCCTCAGCACCACATAAACAGAAAAAGCCAGAAGTGACGCTGCAGCTCAAGTGGAAGAGCGCTAGCCTTCAGCTGAAGAGCTGAGGGACAGCACCCAGGCCCAGACAGCTCAAGGCTGAAGAGCTGAGGGACAGCGCCCAGGCCCAGAGTTCAGGCCCCACGACCGACCACAAAAAATATCAGGAAACATTACAACAAACATCCAAGAAATTCAAATGATTGTGAAGGACGATGTTCAAAACCTACACGGGCAAAAGAAGGAAACCCAGCAGCAGTGGACGAACTTTTAGAAGCACGGTTTTTCTTTTTCTGATGATTCTGTGTTCTTTACTTCAATATGGTGCATTCACCTGCATTTCTGTGGGAAGGGAGGAGGGCACAGAATCAGAGGAAAGGGGTGCAAAGGAGCAGCAGCAGAGTGTGCAGGGGACATGAATGAAAGTGAACTACGACTACCTTAAAATAAAAAGCTTCTGCACAGCTAAGTCTATCGCAACTAAGCTAGAAAGACAACCAACGAATTGGGAAAAAATATTTACCAGCAATATATCAGACAAGGGGTTAACATCCTGTATATACAGGGAACTCAAGAAACTAATCCCTCCCAAACCTAACAAACCAATTACTAAATGGGCAAGGGAACTAAAGAGGGACTTCTCAAATGAAGAAATAAAAATGGCAAAGAAACACATGAGGAAATGTTCATCATCCCTGGTGGTGAAGGAAATGCAAATAAAGACAACCCTGAGATACCACCTTACCCCAGTCAGAATGTCCCACATCCACAAATCAGCCAACGACAAATGCTGGAGGGGATGTGGAGAAAGAGGAACCCTATTACACTGCTGGTGGGAATGTACACTTATACAACCACTTTGGAAAGCAGTCTGGAGGGTCCTTAGAAAGCTAAAGATTGACCTCCCTTACGACCCAGTCATACCACTTCTAGGCATCTACCCTGAACAACAGGAACCAATATACAAGGACACGTGCACCTCCATGTTTATTGCAGCACTGTTCGCAATAGCCAGGATATGGAAACAACCTAGGTGCCCCACCACAGATGAATGGATCCAAAAATTGTGGTATCTATACACAATGGAATATTATGCAGCCATTAGAAATGACAAAATAATGGCATTTGCAGGGAAATGGATGGAGCTAGAAGGAATCATGTTGAGCGAGGTAAGCCAAGAATGAAGAGACAAACGGTACATGGTCTCCCTGATAAGTGGATGCTAAATCCAAAAGGTTAGGTGATACGATAAAACTAACAGGACTTAAGAAACAAAGAACTCCTGCTCATCTGGTTGAACCACTACTAAATATCCCCATGCTGCTGATCACAAATATGGTATATAACATGTGAACACTGTTATATATTACAGACTGTGGTAGACAATTTGCTCCAGGGAAGTTAGAATGAACTTGTGACTTTGAAATTATGTAATCATTTAACCACAATCAAAAAAAAAAAAAAAGAACCTCGGGGAAGGGAGGGAGGGAGGGGATGGGAGGGGGAAAACAATGGAGGGGGTAACAATGTTCAAGAGGAAGTGTACTCATAACCTCACTCATGTAACTGTAACCCTCTGTATAGTAGCTTTACAATAAATAAAAAAAAAAAAAGAAAGTGAACTACGCAGCTCCTGGGTGGGGGAGGGAGGGAGGGACTGGGAGAGAGCGAGGAACAGAAGACCCTGGTGGAAAGGAAATGGACTCATCGCCTGATGGCTGTAAATGCGACTTCGCTGTATATCGCCTCTAAAATAACAATCAAGTACTTTTCATAATGCACTGGCCCAAAGTTTGATTTGGTTTAGATTGACATGAGGGCCTTCAGCTGCAGCAATGTTTAAAGCTATTTTTTTTGTGGTACTGAGTTTGAACCTAGGGCCTTGTGGCTGCTAGGCAGGTGCTCTACCACCTGCGCTGCGCTACCCTACCACCCCGTTTTGTTCAGAGAGAGTCTTATCTTTTTGCCTGATGTGGCCTTAGACTGTTTCTCCTACCTATGGCCTTCCAAATCACTAGGCCTATAGGCCTGAGCTGCCATATTTAGCTTGTTCTTTGAGATGGGGCCTCCATAACTTTCTGCCCAGACAGCCTTGAGCTGAGCTCCTCCGATCTCTGCTTCCCAATCAGCGTGGATT